CCATAGACTTTGCATGTAAACCTGATGCTCCTGACGCTGAAATCGCGTTCGGTGTGAACGCACCATTAGGCATTTTTGCCGCTACATACAAAGATGGCAGACCGCGTGGGAAACAGGGCTCTGTTAACCACAAATGAAGTTTTAGCTCTTCTCTTTGAGTCATCTGGTAAGCCAGTTTACATTTATTCAACTTTGTAGATAATACATGTACTTTCAATCAACCAAAGGGATTAGGAACTGTGTTTAAACTTCTAATCACATTTCTGCAGCAAATTATGAAGTAGTGTAAGAGTTAGCTAACACTAGCAAAATGTTACCAAGAATATTAGTCATTTTTAGTCCAAGCAGATCTCTTTATACTTAAAATAAGACACATTGCCTAAAAAGCAACTTGTTTTAGACGAATTTTCAAGTGAATATTTGCTTTTTATTTTAAGTGTAAAGAGATTTGGACCAGAAATTATACATTTCGACTAGAAATAATAAGTATATTTTGTAAGATTGAGGTTTTGCAGTGAACCATGGTTTGCTGTTAACATTCAGCAGCACTTTATTTTCTTCTGCTTCAGMGTCAGGAAATGAACTTGATACCAAATTAGAGAAGGATTTAGATGACAGTGGACCTGAGATAGAAGGAAATGACATAGACAKCAGGCAACAGGTTGAAGAAGACACAGACAGTAAAGCCTCCACAGCTGATTCTGATTCATGGTCAGAAAGTGAACATGATGAATCTGTCTTGGATGAGGACTGTAAACCTGATGGCCGTCCGGATGATAGTGATGCAGACACAGCTCAYCATAGTGAGGAAGAAACAGGAGAGAAGGAAGGAAGTGAGAGGGAAGAAGAAACTGAAGCTGCACTTGAAMTTTCTGCTGTTAAACATCGTAAGCGTCCAAGGTCACAGTGGAYGCGACAAGCGATAAGAGAGAAACGTCGTAAGGGAGAGAGTTACAAGAATGCAATGGGACAGGAAAGAAAGGCAAAGACCATGGGCCCAKCCTGCACATCACAGCACTGCTTAAGGTCAACAAAACGAAAGTGTGAACTGCTGAGTGAAGAAGAGAGAGCAGCTATCTTCAACACGTTCTGGGCCATGCCCTCCTGGGAGAAATGCAAGCTGTATATCCAGACTTTAGTGGAACATGTAAGTGACTTGTTAATCATAGCAAATTTTGTCACCTCTACAGCCTCCTCAGCTCATCAAACTGTATTTCATTTCACTCCAGGTTTAAATTTGAAGTGTCTTGATTGGCTATTTTGCTTTTCTTTAAATATAGGTGCCTATAAAGCAGAAGAAAGGTGGTGTTTCATCAAGGAGAAAAACCTCCGTTAAACTACCTGCAACTGGAAGATGGACATWAACGACCTGTGTGTAAGAATCTTTTCTGTTCAACCCTTGGCATTGCCCCCAGAACCATTGGATCATGGTTAGTTAAGGACATGAAAACCAAAACTGATCCACCCAAACCCAAGGTCAATAAAAATGGTAAGTGGGTTTTCCAGGAATTGTATGACTGAAGGATGCTCGCTGAATGTCCTTACAAGTCTATAGTATATCTCCATTCTTATTCTCATGTTTTGTACTTGTTAGGTCCACGAGTGCCAATATCAGATGCTGACCAGACTTTCCTAAAAGACTGCCTCTGTGGGCTGCCTTCCGTTCCATCACATTACTGCCGTCAGGTTCCCTCCTATAAGGATAAGAAGTTTCTGGAGCCAGGAACAGTTCTAAGTGACCTTTACCGAGAATACCAGAAAGCTGCTAAGTGAAAGTGGTGCACGTGTTGTGAGTGAGACATATTTCCAAAAAGCATTCAGTGAGCTGAAATATTTAGTGTTCGTACCAAAAAAAGACCAGTGTGACGTATGTCTCGGCGCCAAGGTAGGAAATATAGATCAGGACACTCTTGCTACTCACATAAAATTAAAGGCTCAAGCTAAAGCTAAAAAAGCTAAGGATAAACAGGAATCCAGTGAAAAACTCTCAGTGTGGACAATGGACCTTCAGTGTGTTCTTCTGTGRCCTAAGACAAAAGCAAGCATGATGTACTATGTGGGGAGCAGGAAGCTGAGGAATMCAGGTGTTTTTTCAATGAGAGGCTGCTTCCAGCAGCACCTCACATCATGTTTGAAGAGTTGTGAATCATTCATCATAACTGTTTTTTCTTGGCCCATCAACACAGTTTAAAAACTGGTGTACTTTGGTTGGTGCATAAAAAACACAATCGGTTCAGTCCTTTCTCTCCAGAGAAAACCTCCACCTCTCCAGGCTCTCTTCCACCTGCTCCCTACTCTCACTACCAATGCTTCATCTAAGCTTTTGTTTGAATAAAACTAAGCCAAAATATCAAATTTTAACTAAAATTTTAGCATTTAAGTTTTTTAAAGCACATCACTCAGAGCAAATTGTAAGTTAAACAATCCAAAATAAAGCAATAAAGCAATAGCTAATCAGTTAGTAACTCTTTAAACATAAACTGTATCTGTTGGATTTTAACACAGGAATTTAGATAAGTTATGGATAAATAGTTTGCTTTTACAACATGGTGGACTGATGTCATTTTAATTTGGCCTGATTTTTAGGTTATTTTAATATTTTAAGTAAGGAAGATATCAGCCGAACTCATAAAAAAGCTTTATTGTGTTCTCTCTATACCAGCTCCTGTAGGGTCAAAGCTCAGCCACAGGTCAGTCTCTGTCTGCATGGTTCTGCTGGGTTTCACACCAGCTCAACTAAGGGACAAGGACAGGTTCGGATGCAGGACTTCGCGCAGTCCTATGTAGTGTTCACCTAAAGGTAGCTGGTGAAGAAAATGACTTTTTTGATTGTCTTTGTTATCTCATCTGATGCAAATGTGGGGTGACAGGCAGCCATTCCATTTCAGCTTATCTCTCTCAAAGCCATAGAGGCAAGCACAACGGTTTCTTGGYAAGTTTTTCTTGCATATTTCGCTACAAAGACTGCTTTAGAAATATTTGTTTTCTTTTTTTTTCCCCTCAGGTATAAGACCAAACTGATACTTCAGGGAAACTGGGAGAAAAAAACACACTTAACATTCCGCACAAAACAACTCTGTCTATTGTGACTTGTTGGTTTTGAGGCAATTTGAAGGACAGAGCTTCTGACTAATCATCCCTTTGACCTGCATAACTTCTCTGCTTAAAGACTCTTCACACAGCTCATCTGTCTTAAGGTTGTTTTTATTCTCCATTCAAAGCTGAGAAACTATCTCTCATTAATGTAGAAGCACWYTGAAAATTGACATTCTGTTCTTGTAGTAGATTCTGTCACCATTTCTTGACACAAGTCCTGGGCCAAAGCTTTGTGACATCATGAGAAATTTGTCATTTTGCTTAAACTTTTTTGCTTCAACTTCCAGACACCAGCCGATGTGTGAGTAAGCATCATGGACAGCTTTGAGGATTAGTTGGCCAAGGCAGACAGGTGTGCTGATTACAAACAGAAGACAGGTGTGCTGATTACAAACAGAAGGCAGGTGTCAATAAAAAAAGCCTGAACCCAGAAATGCGCAGGGGATTTGTGGATGCCTTTCTGGTCCTCAAGAAAAAACTGGAGGTTGTACTTTTCTATTAAAATGTTGTGTTTAGTTTATGAAGAGAACAAAGAGAACTGTGGTAAAACACAAGATATGGGTAGAGTAATTGGTACTAAACCAAGACTGCCAATGGCTTTGAGAAGAAAACTAGATATCATGGAAAATAAAGTACTGCAGAATTTCTGAGTCTTTATACACACAAATTCAGCAGCGCCCTTTTTTGGGACCTTTTTTTTTTTTTTACTATTTTAAATGGTTGTCTGGAAGAGACGAACAGATGGAAATATATTCTGTAATCAGAACACCTGTCTACTGTTTTTAATCAGACCACTTGAAAGAAAGATAAAATGGATATTATTTATCATTAGCTCAAAGGGTTAAAGATTTTGATTCTTAGGATTACCACCATGACTTAAAAAAAAAGCTATAGATTCCGAATTTCATCACATCATGGTAACATGATTTACCTGATCACAGGGCAGARCTAAATTTCAAGTATCTGCCAACTGAACCAAATATGCTGACTAATGCCACCATGTAGGAATACAGTTCTCCTTTAGGGCTGGTATGTAAATCACAGAGGAATCAGGAACACAATGCAGTGYAGGAATTCCCTGTTTTGTTTAAAAGGAACTGAACAGTCAATAATCCGTCACAGCCCTACAGGACAGTGAACCTGCTGCTAGACAACATGAAAGTTTTCCTCCTGGTTGTGTGCTTGGCAGTATGCGGCTTGGCTCAGAGACCTCAACCATGCGGTAAGTACACTTACACACACACACACACACACACACACACATATCAAAGACATTTCTCCTGTTCGTTTTCTTCTAAGGTTTTACAGAAATGCTCCAAAGTTTTGCTTGAATGAATTCTTTCCTCCTGACAGATTCCCCACCACTGCTGTCTGGTTCCCTCACTGTGGTAAGTCTCAGTTCATTTCAGAGCTTTTCATTGCTACTCAGATATAAATGTTGTGTTATGAAGTAAAATAAACACAGGAAAACCTAAATGTGTTTATGTTTTAAGATCACCCAAAGCGAGAGCCTGGTGGCGTTTGTGAATTACACCTATGATGGAATACAAGAACGCATTCGCCTGCAAGAGTTTGGACTCTCTGGCAATGAAACCTTCCTCTTTGACTTCCTCCTGCTCTACAAACAAGTAATGGCACCAAAGAAGTGATGTTTTTATTAAYGCGACTTGTACTGTTGTTGATCATAACCTTTGTTCTCTTCTAAAGCGTATCATGTACCAGATTAACAACGAGAACCAAACATGCTTCAAGAAACGTCTGGGTACCAGTTTCTACAGTCTGAGTGTCCCAAAGAATGCCTCTTTTCAGGGTCATGCTGTGCTGGGCAGCTCCTCTTTCCCTGGAGAGGGAGTCCAGATCAACACCTGGGAAGGAGAGGTGCACACAAAGGATGGAATAGGTAAAGGGAATGGGAAGCGAAAAACTAAGAAAAAAATCTAATCATGTGGTGTTGATGTTGCATGTGACCTTTGTTTGACTGTTACACAATCATCACTTGTGTTTCAAGTTTGACTAGTTGTAGACTCATCTGACATGATCTACTTCTGTTTCTGCAGCCAAGTACATAAAAACCGTCACCCAAACTGGCTGTATCCCTATCACCACACTGTATTTGACTCCCCAGGATGAATGGGTGGTGACCAGGTCAGTCATGTCTTTTAATTGGACCATTCCATTGTGCTTACAGTACACTATAATATTTTACAATGACATACTGTAATCTGTTTTGTTGACAGTGTAAGCAGGGGTTAGTCGTTAAAAACTATGCTGTCTTACCAATCCAAAAATACATGATCTAGTTTCTATACCAGGTCCTGAAATTAAACAAATTTCTTAAAAAAAAAGAACTTAGAACACTTGGTAAATTAAACCAGCTGTGAAACAGGAACTAATCCAAATGAAGAAACAAAGTGACAAAAACTAATTTTGCACAACAGTTCAGTAGTTTGTAGAAACACTTTGAACAGCAATAGCTCTCAGTACTATCAGTATTGTGTTTTATCTGTATTCTGGAAGACTTTTGGACCACTCTTCTTTCAATTGTTGCTTCACTTTATTGAGATTTTCAGATGTTTCTGTTACTTTTAACCTCTAACAGATTGATGGACATCATCAGTTGCTTCTCTAAGGTTATTGGTGTCTMTCCTCCTTGGCACTGAGACAAACCAGAATGTAAAAATAACATCTTCAGTCGGAGGTTACTGATAGGTTAATTAAAATGTTTTAAATGCAATTTATCCTTTCACTTTAATGTACCCCCTGGACACTTACCCCCCCTCCCCCCGACACTCACCCACCTGGGACACTACCCCCTGGACGCTTACCCCTCAGACGCCTACCCCCCTAGGACACCACTCCCATGACACTTACCCACTATGACACTACCCCACTGGAC